CTTTAGGATTTTACTCCAGCATAAATGCGCATTGATAATCTTTGGTCAAGATTTTACGGCGGATGTGTTGTGTGCTGCATAATAAAAAAAAATAAAAAAAAACTTGAAATCTGCCCATTTTGCTTGCACCTACTACCCACTTAAAATTTTGTCAATAACTTGAAGTCTATAAGACCTATCGAAGTCGGTTTAAATTTTCAAAACTAATGAAAAAAAAAAAAAAAAAAAAAAAAATGAAAACCTGTCCTTTTTATTTTCAGCTAGTGTCTGTCTATTAAGTTTAAAATTCGCCTACAATTCCTAAAAAGCTTTACAAGTAAATTATAAAAAAAAAAAAATTCATCATAAATTCATCTATAGATGTCGATCTCCATTGCCGGAGATGGTGTAATAAAGCTAAACATAGTATTAGTCCAGAGCTGTTCATTTATTCGTGATAAGGCGAATTATAAACTTGGGGAAGAGTGAATCAAATATCTTTCTTTCATTATACCGTTCGCTAGCATTATTCATATTTACATAGATGTTAACTGGGATAAAATTTGGACTCATTATCTTGCAGTTGGGACTTACTAAAAAAATTCTTGTCCTTTGCATGGAGGGCGTGGGTCACGCTTAAATGACTTGTGTGCACTAGACCACCGTAGGGTTAAGCCATCATAGCAGGTATCCGAGCTAAACCATTGACACAATCTGTTCTTTACATGGACAATAGTGGAAAGAACAAAAACATTTGATTATCTAAGGACTCAGCTTACAATATAGGCAAAGAAGGTAGAGAAGAAATGTTTCTTCAAATCGTTAACATAAAACATTTTAATTTATGGATTTTTTATTGTAAACAAACTTTCTTCTCTAAAGGAAAATTTATAAAAAAATTTCCATTAAAAAAAGCAAAGATCAATACACCAAAAAGGCAATGTTTGTTGACTTTAGTAAATGTGTCAAATAGTTTCACATGGTTTTTTTTTTGCATTCACATTGCATTGAATTTCACCATGTGAACTAATGGTGAATAGTGAAGAACGTAGCAAATGATTAGAATTTATGGATAGACTCAGTTGTTGGCTATTTGCTGAATTCTAAGAGGGAGAGAAGAAGAAGCTTAATGGAAACCGATTCTATACGATCCACATGTTATTGTCTTCCGTAGAAAAATTTCGTTTTATTCAAAAAAAAACAAAAAAAAACTTCCGTTACTTTCCGTTTGAATAGAAAACTTTTCTTTGATTTCTGGAGTTGTAATCACCTATGAAAAATCTTTGTCAAACAAGTGCATACAAAATGAGAGGCTAACTTTAAGTTATGTGTTTACTCCTTCCCGGACTACGCTAATGTTAACATTGATTTCCATAACAAGTCTCATGTTTTTTCCGCGCTCAATTTTTAAGACAGAAAAGAAATATAGAGTCTGTATAAAGCAAGCTGGTAAGAAATAGGTTTGAGGAAAGGAAGGGATAACGAAATATTTTATTAAGATGCGAAGTAGTAAGTTGAACGATCGGAGCCGTTTCTTGCATTAAACATTTATTTCACTGATCGTAGTATAGGGCTTATAACAACGTCTAGATTAATGTCTATTAAAATCTTTTAACATTTTTTCTCTGTTATCAACGTATATATGCAGATAGTATATTTAATTTGTGCTAGAAATTGAAAATGATATCTATTAGCCTGTTAGGCTTTTCGCTAAGCACGAGACTATAATTTTATCTCAATTCGAGCAGATATTGGCTTAGCTCTAATTGTAGACTAAATTCAATTATATTGCGCGATTGGGCAGAGAATGAAAATACCGAGTTAATCGAGCTCGTTAAAAACTATCTTCTTTTGTTATAGTGCATCATATATTTCTTGTTCGTATTGTTCCGTATCCGCACAAAATAGGCAAAAAGATTTCGATGAGAAACTCAATGGTCGTGGTTTCAAATCTCAAGGGCTTAGAAAAGTTCTCAGTAAAAGCCGATGATAGCATTAGAGAGAGAGGATGCTAGCGCTTTAAGACTTTAGTCTTAGAATTTATTTCTCTGATTAAATTAATTATAATAAAAATATTAACATATATATTTCTATTTTCCAACATTTTCATTATTTTTTTTTAGTTATATGTGTTTTGTAGTATTTTTTTTTTTTTTTTTTGTTGTTGAAGGTTGCCGTTGAGTGAGTTAAAAATAATAGCAAAAAAATTGCGGAGGGGTTGATTAAAATGCGCGATATTTTTATATTTTCACAATTTTTTGCCTTTTTTTTTTTTCATTTTGTTGTTTTTTTGTTTTCTTTCTTTCATGACAAATGACTTTAATGTTAGATAAACAACAATAAACAAACGTTCATTTAGAATTATTTGATAATTTTTATGTTATATTAGGTGCGTGTATATAAGCGCATTATAATCATATATAACGCAAACTTAGAAGGCTTAAAACAAAAAAAACAGTTTATCAAATGTAAAGAGTAAAAAAAATATAATAAAATACTTTTTAATGCTTTCATTCAGTTTAGGTTGTCGCAAAAAAGCTTGATGCATTACCTAATCGCCTTAATTAATTCCTCGTCGACTTTCTCCATTTACTCGATACTATTTTTGTATGAATGCTCCTCATATGAAAAACTAACTTTTCCCGCCTTACTATAAGCAACTTGCCTTATCTTCTTATATAAGCATTGGCATGTATTATTATTATTATTATTGTCAAACATGCCTATCGGCCTACGTGGACGATTAGTTAACCTTTGATTGAAAGAATATAAATTTGATTTACATCGAACATGAACGAATGGACACGCATACATTTCGTCATCCCACGAAATACATATATAACTTCGAATTTGACCTATTCTATCTGTTCGTCGATTCTTTCTTTCTATTCAATCACAATTTCCCTAAAATCATAACGAAAATGTTGCCTTAAAGACTTTCAAGTTTATTCCTATAAATCATTTTTGGGAACATTTTTATATATATATGCTTATATGAGGATTGTCGCCCAGTTTGAAATTCCGTCGGATTTCCAAGAGACATAAATAATCAGAGTTATGAGAAAATTGTATGCCTTCGTCACACACACGTGCTACACCCAGCTGGCGCAAAACAAAAAAAAAAAAAAACAAAAAAAACGCTATGTAGCACGTGTGCAACGGTGCCATACAGTTTTCTCAAACTCATCCGTAAAATATCTGAACACGCGATTATGGCAACAAAATTGCAAATTGTGGAAAAGAAAGTCCGTGATCTGCAGCGATGAAGAAGCTACCAAATAATAAGCACTTATGAATGTAGTTACAAGACATTTCTTGAGAGAAGCTTGACCAAATGTAGGTGGTTTCGATGTCAACAAAGCTGTTGAGAAAAATTTGAAATGAATTTTATCGCTGGGCGAGAATTTAGAAATGTCTTTTCTATTTTGATATGCGATAGTGGCGACTTCACACTGACCTCAGGCGGTGGACGACGGTCCATACATATATATCATGAATTAATGATTTTTTGAGCTCTTAACAGCTTTCGAGTTGATTTTAATTGTTTTTTCATAATAGAAAGTTTTTATCTTTATTTTCAAAAACGTTAATTTCATTATTTATAAATAATTTATAAAATGTACCTTAAGCG